CCGGTGAACGTGTCCCGCCGCCCCACGTGCCCTCCGGAGCCCCCACCCAGCGTCCTGGCAGACGTACCTGCAGGCCCGCAGCCCCCGGGCTTTGGTGACACTGCACAGCCTGCCCGTTGGCTTCAGCCCCATGCTGCCCACGACCGCGTCCCGCACGTACTGCCTGCAGGAGAGACCGTGCCGTTCAGGGCCGAACGCACAGAGAGGTGGCACCTGCTGTGAAATGACCTCCCCCCCCGACCCCAATATGGCCCCACAGACACTGGGGGAAGCGGGTGATGGCTCAGAGCCAGAAGCAATGGGCAGAGCACCCCAGTCCTTCATCGATCTCTGCCCGTGTCTCCAACCAGGTGCTGCGGGCAGCAGCTCTGACCAACAGCCCCAAAGGTCTGCCACAGAGCAGGGATGGAAAAACCAGCCCGTAGCAACCTCCCCTCCTCTCCTCTCTCCAGCTGCCAGGCTACAGGCAGCCCTGCCGGCACATCCACCTTGCCACGAGGAGCAGGATTTGCCCAGGGCCTCCCAGGCAAAGGAGAATTCCCCAAATGTTCTTTTTCCACCATCTGACAGGGTTTAGGATTCAGACGGACAGATCCCAGGCACACAGTGCTAGACACCTCCCAGGCACACAGTGCTAGACAGCTGCCAGGCAGACAGCCCCACGGCACGTACAAGGCCTCCATCGTTCCTCAGGGACAGCAACAAAGCCCCCACCCCACTGACACCCTCCCCAGGACTCACGTACTTGCCACATTTCATACACTCTTCCACAAACATGTTCCCATGGAGCTCAGCCAACTTGTCCCTGCGGGAGAAACAGCAGAGATGAGCTGGAGAAAGGTGGAGAGCCCCGGGGCAACAGGGAAAGGTGCCCAAACGCCCCTCCTGGCTGAGGCCCCTGCACCTCAGGGGCTTCCCCACTTTCCAGCTCTGCCAGGATGGATCTGCCAGGTGACGTGGGGTGGCAGAGACCCTCTGCCATGGCCCAGGGACAGTGCCCCAGCACAGGGTCAGCACTGAGGGGAATTATATTAAGTGTAGACAAATACCTGGCTGCGTCAGAGCAAGGCACAAGTGGTGGGCAGGCTTTTAAAACTGAAATGCTTCCACCAGCAGCACCAATTCTAGCCCGTTCTGACCCAGCATCAAATCTTCTCTATGCCCAGTCGTAACTGGGAGCTTTGCGTTTCTCAGCACTCAGTGCTTCCCTCTGTCCTTGCATGCTTCCAGCCCTTTGGCCACTTGTTTTGATTAAAACTCCCTTGGAGCTCAACGCCAGCCTCGAAGCGCAGAAGGAAAAACAAGGCCACACTCTTCCTACGTTCCTACGAGCCCCACGATGACTGGGAGCCTCCGGGGCAGACGGAGACAGGACTGACTTGATTTCCCCCATTTTGGCCCCAGTTCAGCGGCGCTTACTTAAGCACATGCTTTGCTTGGGCGGAAGAGCTGTGCTAAACCAGAGCGGGAGCCAGTGGCACTAGGCTGCGGGGAGCACAGCTGAGTTCTGGTCATCACTTCCTAAGCTTTTTCCCATGGTTGTTCCATTTCAAAAGGCAAATGTGGTGCTAGGTGCAGGAACCAGGTCTCAGGTCTTTTAATAATAGGAAATACGCCCTCGAGGCAGCTCTCTGCTCAGCCCATGATGGCAGAAGACATTCGTGAGATGAGTCTTCTCCGAGGTCTCGTTCATGCTCCTTGTTCCCATCCCAACTCCCTCCAGTTTATTTTCTGACTTGAGTTCAGCTGCTCTCCCCTTCCTGCCTCACAAGACAATCGCTCACTGGGCTTGAGCACTTAAGCAAACGGGTTTTACGAGAGGCTGAAGTTTCTTGAAGGGAAAAGAGCCTGTTGCCACGAGTGCTGATGGCTCCTGCAGGTTCATGTGAGGACATCTTTGGAACAGCCACTGTGCTGCTACATGCACGTCTGTCCCCACCCACGCGCGGAGCGGAGATCCTGTACCCTCGGCTCCCACACGGCACGGCTCCCCGCAGAGGGAACACGGCTACGCGGGATCCCTGACCCCATCGCGGTGGGCGAGGGAATCAGGAGAGAGCACAGCTGGTAGGTCAGACCAGTTCCAGCTGCGGGACTCTCTCTCTGTCTTGCCAAATTGCAAGTTCTGCAAATTAACTGAGAGGCAAAATACTTTTTAAGGCTGTCTCGGGCCCAGGCATGGTTTCATCCCTGGAGCAGCACCGCCTTTATTTTCTCTCAAGAAATTCAATTTAAGCAAACTGTAAAATAGCACAAGATCGAGTGCTCTGAGACAGCTCCAGCAACGCTGGCAAAACAGGGTGGCACGCGTATCTGCCGGAGAAGTTTCAGGTGCCCTCATCCTCCCTCCTGTCCGTTCACTCCTCTGGACAGGCACAGAGGCAGCGGAAAGGACCGAGAGCCCTGAGCACGGCT